GGACAGACTTTCTCAGAAGCTCCTAGATCCTCACAGCATAATGCTCCAGCAAGTTCCTGTTGTGAGTCTGGTAGCTGGAGACTATTTCCAATGCCAGGTAAAATAATTCCATTCTGATACCCCTACTATAGCCCTTTGCAGCAGTAAGTGGACAGATTGACTGTGTCCCCACTTTCCACAGAAATGGAATGGAATTTGACAGTGGGGAATTTTAACTGAGTATCCCAGTCTCAAATGCATTTTAAAACATTTTTTTCTTTCTTGCCTTCAGTCTTGAAACATACTTTGAAACTCTTTGTTTCTCCCTTTTCCACAAGGCACTTCTGTGAACAACGTTCACTTACCTAATTATGTGCTTGCTTAAAAATTCCAGGGGCAATTTTGAAACAAATCAGGCAGAGAGACCCCAGTGTGGAATCTTCCCAGTCAAGAGGAGTTAGAAACAGTGAGCCCACTACAACGAGGCCAAAGTCAGGATGTTGCAAACTGGATCTCCTGATGGGTGATTACTCAAGAGAGCCACTGGAACGAGACGGACAGCTCTCCTTTTCACCACTCCCACATGTTTCTCACACGTTTTTCTTCTTAAATCCCTCACTCATCCCAGCAGGATGAGATGGCTCCTTTGAGGCGTAAGCCCAGCTGTTCTCACATTTGCAAACATTTGACCAATAAAAGCCGCTTTCCTTCTACCACACCTCACTTCTCAAGCTTCGACTTCAGAGTGGTGAGTAGCCAGACTTGAGCCGGTTATAGGAGGGCAAAGGGAGTCATTAAAATGAGAGGCTTCCTGTGGGTGGTGTGCCTGGGACAGAGAAGTGTGGTGAACTCAGCTGTTGCCTTGGTCCAGAAAAGAGGGCCAACGACTTATGGAATCACTCACAATTATGAATGCATCCATTGCCCCAGTAAAAGAGAAAGATAGTGATAAACAAAGAGAAATGACCCTCTCTTCTCGGCTCTACTCCCTGCCTCCACCCAGCAGTTCATTTAATCAGCACTAGAGTTCCATGCACCAGGGATGGCAGACACAAATGTCTCAGGGCCAGGCAAGAAAAGGTGACTTTTAATACATCCAACATATTTGTAGGATGCAGTGGGAGATGTCTTTCCAAGGTCCTGTTCTGATAGGTAGCCAGTTTTCCAGCAACATCTCTTTTTTTGCTGAATGCACATGGGCTTTGACTTACAGGAGTTCCAACATAGGTCCTCTGGTCTCTACCTACTGCAGTATTAATTGACTCCTAAGCTGAACTCATTGTGTTCTGATTACAGTGGCTTTCTAGAAAGGTGTGCCATCTAGTCAGAAAAGTGCTTCTCACATTTTTGCTGACCTGGGCTCTTGTTAAAAGGCAGATTCTGATAGGCAGGTCTGGGTGGGCTTTGTGATCCTGAGCCCCTAAGAGGCTCCTGGGTGATGTAGTTGCTGCTGGTCCTGATCTGAGGTAATGTGCTCTAGAGCTCATTCTGCTTCTCACTTTTTTCACTCTGTGTTGTTTTTAAGATCTTTTAATCTTGCATGTCTTCTGATGGGTAAATGATCTATCCCATGGTGTGCACTCCCCAGTTTTCTGATCCAGTCACTTTTGGATGGACCCTGGCTGCTTTCAGCTCCTTACACAGCAGTGCTGAGGGCTGCATCTGCATGATGTCCCCCACTGGCTACAGGAGAGCTTGTCCAGGGCGTGTGCATGCACTTAATTTGTAGAGGGCCCCCTTTGTTGACAGTGGCTGCAACATATCAGCCTCTCAGCACCCACGCCAAGAAGCAATGCCAACACTTGGCATACCCAGTGTTTTGTTATTCTGATGGCTAAAGTGACCCACATCTGTGTTAATTTGCATTTTCCAACAAATCATGTATTCTCTTCATGTCTGGAAGCACTTGGAGTTTCTGTTTTTGCCTATTTTCATCCTTTGTCTGCTTTTCTAAAACAGTTGTAATCTTCCGCTTGGTGATTTACAGAAATATATCTATCTGTGTATATTACACTAGATAGCAGTCCCTTTTCCGTTTCAGACATTGAATATATCTTGCTCCAGTCCATTACCTGCCTCTTAAGTTTGTCTCAAGTGTCCTTTGTCAAGCAGAAATCCTTGATTTTGATGTAAACAAATTCATCCCTTTGGCCTGGTGATTTTTACTTTCTGGGTTTTAAGAAGTCTTTCACTATCTCTCAGCCATAATTCTCCCACATCATTTTTCATTCACTTATGGTTTTATTTTTTACTTTGAGGTTTTTAATCTTTCTAGAAGTTACCCCTGTGTATGGTGAATATGGAGAAAAATAAAACTATACATCCACTACCACCATCTACAAAGTGATGGCATTTTATTTATAGATAGCACTTTATTTATATTATTAATCTGGGGACACGATTTCCTTATACTGTTAAGTTATGTGCACTGAAGAACACTGAATGTCTCTGTTTCTTAGGTCTTTAAAAGAAAGTCTCATTTAAAATTTTCCCCTAGAATTTTATGTACTCTTTGCTAAGGCAATTCCTAGACACTATGCATTTTATTGCTGTCATGAATAATATCTAATTTATTATATTTTCTAACTGGTATGGAGAAATGCCATTGAGTTTTATTAAGTTTTGTATCCATCAGCCTTGCTGAATTCTTAATAGGTGTCAAGGCCTGTATTTTGATGATTTTGGTTTTTTATAGATTTATATAAATAGTGTCATAAATGACATATAATAAAATGTCTCTAAATAAAATGAAATATTTATTTACACAGATATAAATACAGTTTTAGGTTTTCTCTTTACAATCCTCACCCTGCCTTTTTCCTCCTAGCATTCACCAGCCCTCCTGCACTGTGATAAACCCTAGAAACGATAGCCACATCCCTGCCTTGGGGCCCATCTTTAAGAGGATGCGTCTGAAGTTTCCTCTTTATTATAGTGTTTTGACATGTAATCTTTACAAAAGATAAGGAAGTTATTTTCTATTCCTAGATTGTTATGAAGTTATTATTGTTGCTGCCATTGTAATTATTATAACTGTAAATAGATGAATTTTATCAATAATTTATCTGTATCTATTGAGATAATCATATACATTTTCTTCTTTAATAAATCACAAATAATGGTAACATATTTTCTAATTTTGAACCATCCTTGCATTCTTGAGATAAACCCTACCTGGTTACAACTTATATTTTAATACATTTACATTATGTTAGCTAATATTTTACTTAAGCTTTTGCATTTACACTTGTAAGTAATATGAACTTCTTTCATTTTTAAATTTAGTTTAGGGATCAAGGTTACACCAGCTTCCTAACATGAGCTGAGCAATCTTTATTTTTTTTGACACTGAATTAATAACCCCTTGAGAGTTGATTACAAATCTCCCACAAAACTGTAGACAGGGGGCTCATTGGAAGGAGAATTATTAGATTGCAATTTATCTAACAATCATTGGCTTATTCAAATTTTCTATTTCTTTTTGTGCCAGTTTTTGCATTTTGTATTTTCTTAGAACTTCATCCACATCATTTAGGCTTGCCAACTTATCCACAAGTAGTTACCATTTAGGCTTGCCAACTTATCCACCACTACTGTCCAAAGCAAATCCCTCTTTTGTTCCATTGGTATATGCTTTTCCACTCTCTCTTCATCTCCCATTTCACTGTGTTTTGGTGTCACTGGTCTCACTGTTCTCACTTCCACTGATTTCTGCCCTTTACCGTTTTGCTTTAGGTTTGCCTTGATTCTTATTTTCTAATGTCTTTATGTGAATGTTTAATGCATTTTTTTCTATGTTTTTGGTTCCTGGTAATTTTGCTTAAAATTATAAATTTCCCATTAAATGGTGATTGACTGCAACATTTTTATACTGTTGGTTTATGACATTTAACATTTTTCAGATTTATTTTTTAAACCAAGAGTTATTTAGTAATGTAGAATTCAGTTCCTGGCCAAAATTCCTTCACTATTAGGTTCTAATTGTATTACGTGATTATTTTCAAATGAAGACTCTATGATGGTGACTCAGTGGAACAAGTGGAGGTTTCCTTTGTGGTATAGGGAGTGGTCACAAATGTCTGTCAGTATTTCATACATGTTAAAAAAAATGTGTATTCTCTGTATTTGGCAGCGGGGGGTGGGAGTATAGATCTCTATGTATTTAAAATAGCTAAAACTTATTGATTAAATTATTCAGTGGTTTTAGCCCAATCCTGTCAGGGGTGAGTTAAGGGATATTGCAATTGATCTTTTTCCTACCATAATGTGTGGCTGGGTCAGGTAAAAATTAGCCTGGGTTCTTCAGAGAAATGGAACAGAGAGAGAGAGAGAGAGAGTAGAAAGAGATGTATTATAAGGAGTTAGCTCATGTGATTATGGAAGCTTACAAGTCCCCAAATCTGCAAAATGAGTTGACAAATTAAAAACCCAGGAGAATCAGTGGTGTAGTTCCAGTCTAAATGCAGACAGGCTCAAGACCGAGGAAGAGCTGATGTTTCAGTTCTAGTCCAAAGGCAGGAAAAAGCCAGTGCCCCAGTTCAAAGGCAGTCAAACAGGAAGAATTATCTTATATTTGGTCTGCCTTTTTGCTCTGATTAGACCTCCAATTGATGGAATGAGGCACACTTAAATTGTGGAGGGCAATCCACTTTACTTAGTCTTAAGTAAATTAAATACTTAAATGTTAATCTCATCTAAAAACACCCTCACAGCAACACCCAGAATAATGTTTGATCAAATATCTGGGCACCCTATGGCCCAGTCACATTGATACATAAAATTAACTGTTACAGTTTAAAGCACATATGGGGAAATCAGTTTGAGGCAGGTGGAAGAACACTTTGACTGTCATAACAGGAGAGCGGGCCCTGAATGTACTGAATGTGAAACCGTAAGTGAGCGTCCTTGTCAGCAGGATGCGGCAGGACTGTGGCATAATAAAAAATAAATATCTGGTCTTTGTCTTGGCATGGAGTTCCTAAAACGCTTGGAATCTCCTGAGTGATAAGAATGTCTTTTGTGTGCTTGCTTTGGCAGTACAGATACTAACATTGGAATGATACAGAGAAGATTAACATGGCTTCTGTGCAAAGATGTCATGCAAATTCATGAAGTATTTCATTAATAAAAAAAAAAAGTCTTTTATAAGCTAGTGAGATGATTGGTGGATGGGAGCCCCTACCTAGCTTCAGGATCAGGGCTGATCACCAGAAAGACCAAGCCATGACTAGAGGATTGGGAATTTCAGAACCACCCCTCAACCACCCAGGAAGGGGAAAGAGGCTAGAAATTGACAGCAATTATCCATGCTAAATTATTTCATCAATCACGCCCATGTAACAAGGCCTCCATAAAGCCCCCTAAACAACGGGATTTGGAGAGCTTCCAGGTTGGTGAACACATGAAAGTGCTGGGAAGTGTGTGTCCAGCAAGGGTGTGGAAAGCCCGCACTCCTTCTGAGAGACTTTGCCATATGCATCTCTCCCATTCGGCTGTTCCTGAGTTGCACTCTTTATCACAAGCCAGGAATGGTGGGTGCAGCACTGTGAGTGGTTCTAGTAGACTCTTGAACCTAAGGGGAGAGGGCTGTGGGAATCCCCAAATTTGCAGTTGCCTAGGCAGAAGAGGGTATCCCATTTGTGGCTGGCATCTACAGAAAGGGCAGTCATGTGGGACTGGGTCCTTCAATTGGTGGAGCCCAAGGCTAACTCTGGGTAGTTAGCATAGGAACTGAATTGTTGAATTCCAAGTTAGTATAGGAGAATTGGAGCGCTGGTATCAGGGGGAAGAAGAACCCTGCAAAAACTTATAGGGACTTGTATTTTCTCTGTGAAGTAAGAGGTAAGGTCATCTAACAAGACAGAACCTGATTCAATAAAACAAGAAAGATATAAATAATAAAAGTAAGAAGTACAGCTCTATTGGGAGACAGCGTGGTGTGGTGGCTGATGGGGGGAGCTGGAAGACTGATGCCACCCTCACCATGTTACTAACTGGTGACCTTAGGAGGTCACTTATTCAACGTCTGTCTCTGTGTTCTCATCTGTAAGATGGGGGAGAATTGTAGGCTTGAAGTTCTTGTGATGAATACATGAAGGATCCCACCATGTCCTTAGCTCTCACTAATCAATGATTTACTTATTTTTAAATATTTATTTATTTATACTTTTAAAACAACAAATGAAAATTATATTGAGACAATGATGTCTTGATATATGTATACTCATTATTAGCTGCTATTATAATTATTTGCAGTGATACTGTTTTCTACCTAAAAATCCAAGAGAAGAAGTTGAAAAACCTCTAAAATATTTTTAAGAACAATTACTAAGTTGGCAGGGAAAAATCCAAAGCTTTTCTAAATATCAGCATTAATCAGAAAGAAAATATAATGGATAAGCCTTCAACTGCAAAAGCAAAAAATGCTGAACAAAATATAACAAAAATGAACCCAAAAATTCATATGGAAAAGTAAAAGTCCATGGAAGTGTATAAGGTAGGAGAAGACATTCTCTACCAAACATTAGACTTATTAGGAAAGCACAATAATTAAAGACAGTTTGGTATCATAGTAGGAATTTTTTAAAAAAAAAAATAAACGAAGTAGTGTAAAACAGCTCTGATCCTAGATGAGAACACTGGTATGCCACAGAGATGCCATAATAAATTGCCAGTGAAACAACAGACTTTTATGTAAATGGTTCTGGGAAATTGGCTATTTAGATGGAAATTTAAAAATTCATTCCCCTATATGATACCATGCACAAGAATAAATTCCAAATGGATTAAGTGCCTAAATTTGAAACATGTTTAACATTAGAGGAAACAAATAAGAAAATATTTTTATGACATTGGTGTAGGGAAAAACTTCTTGAACGAGACATAAAGGATAAGATTAATTACTTTTACTACATTAAAATGGAAGCTTTTAGGTGATAAGAGACACCAGTGACAAAGCAAACAGATATGCCCCAGAAGGAAGAAGACACGTGCAATGTCCAAAACCAACGGAGAATTAGCCCCCAGCTGACAGAAGAACTCCTACAACTCAGCAGGAAAAAGACAAAAATCTGCACAGAAAAATAAGCAGAAACTAGAAATAGCCAATTCAGAGGAGAAGAAATCTAAATGACAAAAAAACACATGAAAACATAATAAAGCCCATTAAAACACAGGAAATGCATATTAAAGCTATCATAAGATGTTATTCCATACCTGTCACCTCCGCAAAATGTATAAAGTGTGACAGTAAGCAAGTGTTGGCGGAATGTGGAGCAGTGGGAAATTTGGTGCCTGCTGGTGGAGTTTAAACTGGCACAGCCACTTTGGAGAATAATTTGGTATTTTCTAGTAAAGCTGAAGATACGCATACCTCATGGCCTAGAAATTCCACTTCTAAGTATCCAGCTTAGAGAACCTCTGAAGTATGTGTAGGAGGAGAAATATGCAAGGATGTTTGCTATTTGCAATGTTTAAAAATAACAGTAATAACATGAAAACAACCTAAATGTCCATCAGCAGGAAACTGGATATCTGAATCACCACGTGTGGGATTTTCATGCAGCAATGAACACAAGTGAAATACCTTTTCATTGATATATCTCAAAAATCTAATGCTGGTAGAAAAAACGTTAACAAACAAGTTAACAAACTAGATTTACAGTGTGATATGTAAAGTTTTAATGAATGTAAAACAATTCTACACGTTGTTTAGAGACACATGCATGTTTAGTGAAAGTGTACAATTGGGTGGCAATTAGCAAAAAAGGTGAGTTGTGGGGAGAGAGGTTGGAGAAGAGTGAAAAGAGCTTAAGTGTAATTTTTTTAAAAATCTCAAATAAATCGTGCCATAATACTAAATTTGTTAGGTTTGTCAAATTGTAGTGGTAAGTATTCAATATCTTGTTCTCATTACTTTTCAGTGTTTGGAGATATTTCCTAGCAAAAATGAAAATAGATGAACTAAGTCATAAACCCTGAACTCTAGAAGAAGAATAACAACAGCAAAAATGGTGAAAAAGGAAGGATAAAATTAATAAACTGAAAAGCAGAACACGCATTTGTATTTTTAAATTTCTTTAGTGTTTATCAGGAAAACCCAAAGCTTATTCTTTCTAAAAGACTCACAAAATTGGCAATTGGCCAATCTTCATAAAACAGAGAGAAAGACAGAGAGAAAAGGGAGGGAGGTGCACACAAATTCATACCAGGAAAATGGAATTCAAGTTTAGGTAACAAGGAGAATTTTTAGAATTGTTAAGAACATGCTATGTATAATTATTATTATTATATTGTTAATGCCTAATTAAATAGCCAACTTTCTAGGAAAATATAAATCATCAAAATCAGCCCAAGAAAAAGTAGACAATTTGAAAAGCTCAATAAGTTTAGTGTAACTGATGATTTATCTGTAAAATAACATCATGATGAGATGGGTTTGTGGGAGTATTCTACCAAGCTATCTCATGCCACTGTTTTAGAACGTGGAAAAAATAAAGGACATCATGAGAAGAAGGCTGTGACCAGTACTTCTGTGTAATACCCTTAATCTCACTTTTGGTCCTCCATGCCTTTTTAACTCCACCAAGAGATGCTGGAAAAATGAAATACTTTTCCTATCTTCTTTGCACATAAAGGTTCCTATGTGACAGTTCTGGCCTGTGAAACACAAGCAGAAATGTTCTGGGAGGTTCAGGGAAAGCCTCTACCCTACTGGCCAAAGGCATTGGGCCATCTGGTGTGTCTCCAGCCCCAGCCCCTTGCCATGGACACAATGCCCGGCACTGAGCTGGTCGCCTTGCAACCATGGATGAAAGATGATGGTCCAGACCTGAACGGATGCCTGGAGACACGTAAGCAGCCTCTGCCTCTACACTTCTTGTCTCAGATGCTGCTGAAAGGTTTCGTTATTTGTTTTTGTTCCGTATGGCTGAGTTGTTTCTAAAATAAGCACAAACCTGTTAGAAAACCCAAATCAAGGACATCATAAGAAAGTACAGCTGATCTTATATATAAACAGATGGACACAATCCCAAATAAAACATTAGCAAGTCAAGTTCAGCAGTGCTTTAAAGAAAACACCAAGTAAAGAAAACTTACCTATGGTAAGTACAAATAAGGTACAAGATCAACTCCGAAAATCAAAAGCCCAGAACTGTAAGGATAATTTCACATGAGGAAAGTCACAATGTCATTCACTTCATTAATAGGCTGGAGAAAAGCCATATATTTATCTCAATCAATGATGAAAAAAAATTGGTGAGGTCCAAAACTCATTCACAGTAAGCATTCTTGGTGAGCCACGTATAGATGTTATCTTCTTCCATTGAGTAGAACTTTTACCAGAAATCTGCAGCAAACATTGTACCCTGGGAACATGAGCACAATACCCACTGGAGGGAGGAGGTGTGCAACGGTATGTGCTCCTGCTGGTACTACTCCGTGTCAGCTTGAGTGGATGCAAGTTAATAAGAAAAAAGAATAAGCACAGGTTTTGGAAAGGGAGAGAAATAATTGTCATTATTTATAGGCAATATAGTCGCATATCCAGAAAATCTAACAGATTCTACAAGGAGGCAACCCTTCTGTGGCCTCTTTTTCATAGTTGTAGATTAGAAATATCATTAGTACATACCCCAAAGTGTTGTTAATTAAGTTTATACATGTGAAGAACTTAGAATGGTGCCCTGCACATGGTAAGTACAAATAAGGTACAAGATCAACTCCAAAAATCAATAACATTTCTATTGACTAATAATAACTAATTATAATTTTTTTTAGAAATTGAAAGCCCATTTGCAGTAGTAACCAAACTTATATATACCTAAAAATAAACCTAACCAAAGATGTGATTTCTTAGACAGTAGATGACAAAATCCCATTAAGGCAGTGGTCTACAACCTTCATGACACCAAAGACCGGTTTTGTGGAAGACAGATTTTCCACAGATGGCAAGAGGGGAGATGGTTTCAGGATGAAACTGTTCCACCTCAGATCATCAGACACTGGATTCTCATAAGGAGCATGAAACCTAGATCCTTCACATGCACAGTTCACAACAGGGCTCGAAACTCCTATGAGAATCTAATGCCAAGAATCTAATGATCTGGCAGGAGGCGGAGCTCAGGG